TCACTAGTACAGGCTCTGGCACTGACAGATCTGCTTGCGGTGTGGATTTAAATTCCTGCCAAAAATCTCATTGGTTCTAGCTGTCACCTAGAAGATGCCAAATTAAAAACAATACGGGTATAGTTTCCGAGGTTTTGGTCTTCTATCCATGGTTCTGGTGACACAGTTATTGATACTATCAAGTCACAGACTGTGAAAGGACTTTAACAAATAATAATGCGATGTCGCTTTGTGTAGAAAATCTCCACTGATGCAACCTCGCACAAAGTGGGTTTTGTCTGTTTTATACTTAAAAGCAATGTGACGATTTAATGCCTGCAAAATTATAGTCGGTTCAGTGTTGCTATCAAGGGGAATAAAATTCTAATCAAAAGGGAGCTTTTAGAAAGAATTCAGAAATATAATGCTCATAAGCTGTTTTGTGATGTGTTAAAGCACAGTTTGACATGTGCTGCTGGTTAACCATGCGCTTTCAATTATTGCACACCCCCGTCTTTGATCCAGGAGAATTATGGAATGATTTCTCGCAGGGGGGTGCTTTCTGTTGCTCTTCAATAAAGGAAATGGATTCATTTGTGCCAAACAAAGAAGAAAGGCAGGGATGGTGGCAGTGCTGCTGCAGAGGGGCAAAATGTAGTTCAATGGCATTGCATAGATTGAAAAACGTGTTGGTTTTGGTGAGATGCCTCTGTGTTCTTCTGCTTCCCTCTGCTGGAATGCTGCAGGATTCCTGCCCGTCTCCCAGCCAAGCTTTGGAGTAAATCCGAACCCCTTTTGGCAGAGCCAGAGCTGGCTGTCTGGCCAAGCCACTTCTGCAAACTCATTTATTTATTTTTTTAAAGGTTTCTGCCCTGTTTTTGGTTTTCTTTCAGTAGGTCCACATAGTGCAAACCCGTGTACAACACAGATCTGGTCAGGGTGTCTCTGTTTAAACATGTCTCAGCTGTGAGACTAATGAACAATGTTCTGATTTTTTTCAGAGCTGTATGGGGTGTAGACAACCGGTTGGTTGCTATTCATCTTTATAGGGACGCTGCACCCCTATGTGTCATTACAGGCTCTGAAACTCCAATCTGTTGTACTGCAGTCGAATCACAGAGCACTGGCTAGATTTCTGCCAATTTAAAGGTTTTTCAAAGACAAATATTTAAATGTCTGTGATATCGATTGCCCAGAGTTTCCTTTCCCGTTTACTTATACTGTAATGCGTTCAATTGTACTTAGAAAAATGGGAGATTGTCTTAACAATAGCAGAGAATTCACTTTTTAGCATGAAAATAACATGAACTTTAATAGAACATATCATTCATCACTGCTTAACAAGTGCTTTCCCGTTGCTTTCCCGTTGCCGCTTTCCCCTTTCATAATTTTGATGGATTTTGGAAACAGAAGTGGGTTTTCCCTTTAGAGTTTCACAATTAATCTATGCCAAGTTTAGTGCAAAGTTCAATTCTCTTGCAAATAGCAGCCATTATTTGGCAGTTCATCTGTCATATCCTGGCTTGGCTCCCTGTGTTTACTATGAAATATGACTGCCAGCTCTGCTTCGGGAATTATTGAAAGTTTACATTGATTAAAAGGGGATATTTGAAGAAAATTTGCAGGAGCTTACCTCTAGCACAGTAGCTTAGCGGAAAAATATTAAAGACAATGTTATTTCCTCAATAATACATGTAAGCAACTTAATGCATATTTAAAATTGGGAAGTAATAAGCTGTATTAACAACTAGTAAATGTTAATTGCTATTAACAGTATAAGTAATTAGTACTGGCAATGTAGTGATTATTACTAATATAGTTACTTATAGTTAAAGTCTAAACTAAAGATTCAAGGGTAGTTCTGAGTACATGAGAAGCCCATGTTAATATAGGGAATAAGATAAAAAGGTTTATCATCGATGATGGGAGTACAGAGATCTCTCAGCTTTCTCTGTATGTTCTCAGACTTGCTTTCAGAATAATAATGTATACTTCAATTCACCAAAAATAATTAAAAAGCATAGGATTGAAGCAGAAAAAAGGATTATATACTGATGAAGACTGCACTCCCTTATTTGTTAGCTTTTAAATATTTTTGAGGTTCTTCTATTTACTTCTGTTAAAGGAATTTTAAAAGACAGATTTCCTGCATTCAGAGTTTCCATTTCAGGAGTAGTTTTGGTGCTGTTTTCCTTTGCCTTTTTTTTATGCTGTACCTTGAAAAAGTGACTTGGTGTGTACATGTAGAATAATAACTAATAATAGTCAGAACATACTTGCTGCTCTTTAAAAAAATAATTCCCATTGAATCATTCATTTTAAACATACAGTAGGCATTTTCACACAGTGATAGAAACCTAATATTTATTATAGAAAGCAAATGATGATCCCAGTTACGTACAGTGAGTCGTGCAGGACCAACTTTGATCAAAAAAGCGATCAAACCAAAGTTTGATCCAACTTGATTGATTTCTTCACGTGACTGGTTTTGTTTCACTGTTTTATGGGAATGCCTGTGCTGGTGTTTTGTAGTTCTGTGCAGTTAGGCACTGGAGTGCATGAGCCTTTGCTCGTGTGGTGCTGCTTTGTCGTGAGTGCAGTATAGCTGTCCTTACATGCCACAACATTTTTAAGCCACACACACCCCCCTGCTTAACTTAATTGCCATGTATTTTCCATTGATTGGAATGGAAATATTTGGCAGTGATTGTTATATAATTTCAGTATAATATACAGGTTCAATGTATTTAGTAGACATTCACTATAATAATTTCCCATAGTTCTTTCCCCGCTGTATCATTACTTTAAACTCATAAATACTGTTTATGTCAGATGTTAAACACAACTTTAAAAATCTATTTATTCAGTGTCATTCTTGGAAGCTGTGGGTTTTGTCCTTCCCAGCAACAGATGTGCTTACCAAAGTAATGTTTCGTGTGTATATTTAGAACGCAACAAGTCCCCTTATGTCTTTTAAACAAAACAATTTAAGGAATAATTAGCTTCGGAAGTGTGTGTTAGATTGTTTGGAAGGCACATAGTCAAAGCCAACCCATCAGATAACCCTTTAGTAAAGCAATGTTCCCATGACCCCGCACCACAAGACCCATTGGCGATATCTTTAATAAATAACAAAACAGATGTTCTCTGGAGCACTGAATGTCATTCCATTTAGGTTCGCTGTGTTTGCAAAATAAATACGGTTGTTAGCAGTTTGCATTTCGTATCGCAGGCCGTACAGCAAACAGAACTAGTGAAATAGTCTCAATTTGAGTTTTTTGAAATGTAAAGTCTTTTCTCATTATCCTGGATACTATACAATTTCTATCTGTGCAGTGAGAACTAGTGGTTATAGATTCATGAAAAAACTTAGTACTAAAAAAATTCACACAAAGAGTGCTTACCAAAAAAAAAAAAACTTCACAAAGTGTAGCGTGGCAAAACATCAAATTTTGAAGGCAAGATTTAGCCTTCTCGTAGTCATATTTTTAGGAAAATTACTGTTCAGAGTTCCTAAATTTCTTGAGAAAACGCTTATACTAGAGGAATTTTTTTTTGTTTTTGAAGAAACAGCATGTTTTCCATTTTGTATAACATGCTGTGCTTTGCTTTTGATTTTATGGAAAGCTTTTATTGGCAGATGCAATTTGAAAAATCAGTTTATTTTTTATGTCAATTTGATAATTCTTACATAAAGATATATTCGTATAAAATGTAAACAGAAGAAAAACATTTTGAGATCTCATGTTGAAGAAGTTCTATTTTGGTAAAGAATGATTTAATGCATGAAAGACCTGACATTTCGTAATTTCCATGCTCTTTCTGTTGGCGTATGGGGCTGTAAAAAGCTGAAGGAAAAAAAGAATGTTAGCAAGAATTGATTAAAACCCCAATGTATTTTTTAATGCAGAAGAATTACTGCTCTTCCCAACTCCTGATCAAGATTGTGCAGTGATAGTTTTTACTAAAATACAGAGGTAAACAGCGTTCCCCAAATCCGTGTTAAACCCCGTAGTTCGGACTGGAAGTGGACATAAAGGATCTCACAATGTACACGATGTGCACAGCAGTGAAGGGCCATTTATTTTGTGCTGTTTATTTTGGCAGTGCCCATCTCCACGTATTGGAAACCAGCTGCCCGAGTCTGGTTTTTGTGGAGTTCTGTGGCTGTGTATATGTGGAATGAGTCTGAAAAGTGTTGCAGATGTGATTTCTAACTGTCATATAAATGTTCTCGGGTTTCCAAAGGGACCTTTGCCTTTAGGGAAACAGCAAATGTATTCGGATGTGTCACACAGTGGTTGGCTTTAAGTGTTTTGCGTGTATTCCCTTTCACTGGTCCTAAATTAGAAACCACTTTCAAGCTGCTGGTGGCCTTAAAATGTCCTCACTATAAATTTCTCTGTTAGAACCTCAGACGGGAATAGCAATCTCAGTAAAATATTTGCTACCTGCCCAGTTAGAATTTGTTCACTTTCATTTACAATAGTGTATATTATAAATTTGCAATATTTCAAGATGATCCCATCTTTGAGATCCTGATTTTACAGTCATTTGACTATATTTCACAGCAGCCCCTTAACAAACTCTTATTTCCCTTCTCTCCTGCTGTTTCTTCTGTTATCTTTTCGGAATGCTGATGATAGCACGCTGTAAACAAGCAGGCAGTATGTGACACTTGAGCCACAGACTAAATGCTGTCATTGTACTTTCTGTATATGTACAGTCTGTAAGTGGGAGTTTTGGTGTAGATGAATCCCAGGAACAAGTCTGTGTTCTCTGAGCTGGCATATTCTTTCTTACAATACCAAAGCAAAGGAAAAATGGGAACTGAGGTCAGTACACCCGCACCGATGTAGGTACCACTATAAGGGCTGCGAATTAGCTTCGTGCTGGAATATATTTTTCTGTAGTTGCAGAGCTGGAAAGTTTTTGGTATTTGAAGTAATATATTAAACATGTGTCAGTCTCTTTTTTTTTTTTTTTTTGACTTGAGAATCTCTTTCTGTTTTTTCCCTCAGGATCCCAGAAGCAAGCACAAATTTAAGATCCATACATATGGGAGCCCAACCTTTTGTGACCATTGTGGGTCGCTGCTTTATGGGCTTCTGCACCAAGGGATGAAATGTGACAGTAAGTGAAGTTTTTCTGTGTTACCAAAAGGATACTCTAGAAAGTAAGTGGAGACACAGGATAACAGCTTCTTGTTTCTTTTCCGTGGAAAATACCATTTCAAATGTCAGCTATTTATAGTCCTGTTATATTTCAAGTAGATATTTCAGTACTATAACAATACACTAATGAAAATCACCTCTGTTGCTGAGAACATGGTGTATTGGGTTTGATGTGGCTGAAGAGCATTTGCCCCGGCAGTTTTGAGGAAGGCTGGTTTGGGACTCCTCAGGTGAATGCACTGGTGAAGACTCAGATTTCCGTTCGGTTGGTAGCCAAGGTCCAATATTTTCCTTGCATTTCATTTGTCTTAGAAGTCTCCTGCTAGAAAATCTAATAATTTAAACCTAACTCGCTTCGTTGCTAATGCTGACATGAATGCTCTGTTTTCTGAGTCATATGCCCAGCAAGTCTTTATTCCATTTTCACTTTTTTTTTTTCCCTTGCACTTCACTAATGATATCTTTAGGTTTCTGACATAGGTGATTTTATTCTTTGTTTTGTTCACTGTCTACAAAACGTATTGTAAGATGGCAACTAGCTATGTTGTTCAGCTGAAAAACATGCAGCTCTAATCTGAAAGTCTTGCTGACAGCTAAGCATTGTAATCTTAATTTTCACTTTGCTCCATGTTTGCAGCGTGATCGCGTTATTAGCTTCTCATAGCTGTCTGAACCGTTTTTATATCCACAGCCTGTGATATGAACGTGCATAAGCAATGCGTAATAAACGTCCCAAGCCTCTGTGGCATGGATCACACAGAGAAAAGAGGAAGGATTTATCTGAAAGCTGAAGTCACTGGTGACAAACTGGAAGTAACAGGTACACAACTCCTCCTGGAATTTTGCAGGGCTTACAAATGTATAATATGCACTGGGGATTTATGTACCTTGGTTAAATCTTTATGTGCTAAAGCCAATGACAGAGTATTTTGCTTCAGAAGCGTGAGGGTTTCATGCAATACGTCCTTTAATCAAGAACCACTGTGGGCTGGTGTTCATGAGAATAAATAGAAAAATGAAAGCTGTAGAAATAGCTTTAAAAACTCAGGAATGTTAATTAGAAAATCACTGTAATGTCAATTTTTCATGCAGGAAGCAGCCCAGTAGGATAGCTAGCTGTCCAGGAAGTTAGCCAGCATCTTCAGAACACAAGAAATACTCTAAACTTTCATATGCTGAGAAGTTGTTTCCTGCATTTCAGAGGATTTAATAAACAAAGGCAACTTGGCTTCGATTCCAAATATTACTTCCAGTGAGTTATAAAATAAAAAAAATAATCGCATTCTGTAAGGTTAAGGCTATTAAGATGGGGAGGAGGGAGGGAGGGAGGAAGAGGAAGGAAAGAGAGGGTGGCAGTTCGTTTCCTTGGATGTATTTCTCCCAGGCTTTATGAATAAGCTTTGGCTGTGCACACATGTGCCAACTCATTCCAAATCTGAAGTTGCAGGAAAAATTCTGAAAAATGTGTTTTGCAAGATGAAGGACTGTTTTGTCCCCCTAAACAGACATGCAAGAGATTGTTTAACTCCAACAGAACTTCCATGTTCTGTATCAGAGAGTGGAGTTTATCGCTCAGGAATTCCATAAGAATTTGTATTTACAGCGTGTTACGTTTGTTCTTTACACACTTTCTATTTTAGCTGGGGTCAACTGATAGTGTATCTGTAGCTGAAGTGTAGAGTTGGTAGTGAACTTTATTGTTGTTTTTTCCTTTCTCTTGGACACAAAAATGCAAAAAATGGTCTTTGCCAATCAGATTGCAATGTATTTATTCTAAGAGAGAGCACAGGGCAGGAATTAGCCTGGAGAGAAGTGGAATGAAGGAATAACCGAAAATTTTGTCACAAGTCTTTGTGGTACCAAAGCACTATAAAAAAATTACACAAATAGGTATTCTTTTAGTTCACAGTTTTATTTGAAAAGATCTTGCCTGAGATATGGACATGGTAAAATCGTTACAAATATTTTGTAGGTTTTCTTCATAAGCTCTTTTTGATGTGAATGTACTTGGTAAATGCTGTTACTTTTGTGTTTATAAATAAAACATTTCTATCCCACGATTCAGTAGGTTTCTGGACAAGAAGATAAATGTTTACTATAACCTTGTTATGTTTGTAACAATTATGGTGTTGCTTTGGTTGAGGCTTGTCAGCATTTCCAAGCTTTCAGAAAATTTCTTTAAATAAAAATGACACTTGTCTCAAAAGTAAGATTTGGGTTTTTTTAATAAAAAATATTATACAGACTAAGCCCAGACCAGGTGAAGTTTCAGATACCTTTTGTGCATGTTTAACTGAAAAGGAAATTAGCAATTGTCAGTTAGTTCATGGACATATTGCTGTGCAAAAATTTTTACCTCCTTTTTCCCAGTATGGCATTGCTTCTAAAATATTTATTGACAAAACCTTTGTCTACAGCTCCCAGAGTTGCCAAGCACAATACCACTGCCTTTTAGATTTAGGAAAGGATGTGAATTAAATGTCCAGGAGGTTTAGGAACAGCAGGAAAAAATAATCAATGATTGGCTGTTTGGTTTGAGCCTTTGCCTGAATCTTTTTCAAAGGAATTACTCTGTAGGTGTTGAACTCCGTCAGCTGAATTCCTTCATATCTCTGCTCTGCATCCTGTTTCAGTTGTTAATTAGTTCCTGTTGATTCTTTCTTAGCTAGCCTTGATTGCATGCAAAACATTTGTGCTGCTAAATGGAGACGTGCCACTTCGGTTGGCATCTTGCAAAGACCTTTGATGAGCAGCACGACCATCGCGGTTCCAGCCAGGCCAGCCCATCGAGGATGGAGCACGTTGGATGATGACTGCAAGATGTGGTCATTTGGGGGACACTGTTGAGTACATTGCAATTTGTCTTTGCTTCTGCTTCATTGCTTTGAGGGTTTTGTCCCTCAAAAAAGGCCACAGTGCACGCTCACTTCCCAAGTGTTTTCCCAATATAATATTGTAAGTAGTACTGGGTTTTTTTTCTCAGTGAATACTAGGAAAGAGGCAAGGCAGAGTGCTGCCAGATGGAGCTGGCCAGTGGTTCAGTCAGATTATCTAAAATATCCAAGTACTTTGGCAGGTTTCGAATTGAACTATTGGTGGGAATGATTCAGTCCTGTGTGTAAACATACTTAATTCCGGTTTACTAGGTCGGATCCTCAATCTGGGTGCTTAAAGGTAGACGAACAGTCTTTTCTGTGAGAATGTTAGAGACTCTGCAACACTTTTTCACAAATAAGTAGGAATTCTGTATTGGTATACTTTGCCAAAACCTTGCCATCTTCCCAGCGCTAGTCGATACGCCACGTTCAGTGCTCATTTGTGTTGCAATTCTTAAATATCAATGGTTTATTTTATAGCTACCAGCTTGAGAGTTGCTTTGCATATTAATAATTTATTACACTTGCAGTAAAGCAGCTTGGTAGTTTTTTCTTTATAGGAACTGTCTTGAACTGCTTTTTTTCTGAAATCACTGAATTCATGACCTTTCATAGGTTGGACTGACTTGAAGATTCTTCTTTTAGGCATAATAAAGCAGTTTTTGCTATTCTTAAGATATACTTTTGCACCGAATTTTCTTCCTCCTGGTGTATGTTAAAAGTTTTGTCGCTTTTACATTTGCTTGTTGACCCAGCTTGTAATTTGGGGCTCTTCTGAGTGAGTTTGTAGGTGGTTGAATCACAGTTTTGATTTTTTTAATTTTATTTTTGAATATTTTTTTTTATAGTGAGTAAACAATAACCTTTGTGAGAAACTAACCCCATCTGCTGCACTGACATATAAAAAGCTGCCACATTATTGGGACCCTAAACTGTGACCTCTCAGTTGCTGGGAGTTGGATTTGACAGCAGCTGACAAGAAAGAACTGCCCTCCTGACACAGGCACTAATTTAGAGCCACAGTGCTAGTGACTGGCCGTCACCTAATGCACCTACTGTTACATAAATATTCTTAAAATATATATATACACACACAGCCCAGAGTTCTCAAGGTTTTTAAGAGTATTTTTCTTAGCTGAAAAAATACAGAAAATTTATTCTTCAGTGATGCTTCTGTTATTTAAAAGAGGAGGAAACCTGGCAGTGATCCCTGCCAAGGCTGGGAGCACATAACAGCCTCTCCAACAATAATCTCCCCAGGAGTTCTGTACTCCCCACCGTACGTTTTTCAAATTATTTATGAATGTGTGAACACTGAGCCACCCTATGGCACTGCATATTAATGTCTTGTCACGCTGCTTGCTGAGGACAGCTGGGCTAAGAGCCTCTGTCCAAACAAGCTTGAGAGGCAAACTGGAGAATTCTGGCATGTTTCTAAATTCTCCTAAAAATTGGTTCCTTAGAAGACCTCACCACGCACACACTCAAGTAATTTTATTTATGATTGATTGTCTAGGTCAGTGGTAGTGACTGTCTTTGCTAGCATCAATTTCATTATATTCTGCAACTGATTTTAAAAGGGAAGATATGAATATCCTGGCTATTTGACCACCTTTGAGTATCAAATACCTAGAAAGTGATCCCAAATAATTACTAGCACGTGGGAGGTATTTATAATATCTCAAAGAATGTGAATCGCATGTTTTATCTCTCTAATATCTTCTCTCTTTTCTGGCATTCCCAGAATCTGCAGGGATGCTGTGTTCTTTGCAGAAAGAGCTGTGCCTTTACCAAGTGCCAACCCCAGTAGCAGCTGAATGCTCCCCATTTCATTCATTAAACCTACTTTACCGTGAAGAAATAGGCAATGCATAGCATTTAAAAGAAACTTTTTTTTTCATAAATGGCCATTTGCATGCATATAAAAAAATTAACTAAAATGCTGTATATTTATGTAAGAATATAAGCAGATAAAAATTAGAAATTTAATAGTCTGAATCCCTTTTCAGATGGTTTGATGCATCTTGTGCTAAGACTGATGTTTTATTAACTAGCTGCCCTACCCAGTAGTACATGTTTTTTATTATGATAATTTTTATAAAAGTAATCTTATTTTACAAGTAAAATACAGTTGCTCCTGTGAGATTTGCAGTTGAAATTGAAACCGGAGAACCTATTGCAGGCACAAGTACTTATTAAGTAACATTACAGATGATGATGCATTTTTTGTTAGTAGGAGAGACTATCTTAATAAATACAGAGGAATTAAGTGTCATGCAATATTGGTTCATTTTTCATCTTGTTCTGGGAAGGAAATTAATAATCTCTTTCTTGTGTGTAAATCACCTGTGAAGTGCAGGTGTTCCAGTAGTTGACCTTCATTATGTTGCCATCTTCCAGGATTCAGGAAATGAGGTGTAATGAGTAGGCACTGGTCTCAGGAGGGATACCAAAAAAAATTTTAGTTGGGCAGGGGAGTAGTTATGGAATAGAGAAAAGCCTTATGTCATAAAGCCCTTTTAGTGCCTTTTAGTGAAACCGTATAGAAATAGGAAATTATCTGAAAAGCAGGTTGTGTTTTAGAGCCAGTCGTAAGTCACATCCGGCTCCAGAAAGCAAGAATTCAGTGAGAGTTTTAGTAAAATCTTACAATAAATCTTTAATGAAAGCTAAAGAGCTTTGGATTTTGCGTATAGAGAGTACAAGTACACAACTTGGAAGAAGGACTATTTGCAGTAATAGGTAAATCTTTTAAACTGTGGTTAAGGGGAGTGCAGTAAGATACTGGGGAGAAAGTTCCTTGTCTGGGAGTACAAGATCCTCCATCACCCACCTGAGTCGTCAGTAAACTGGGCAGATCACTGGAATCCGTACCAGAATCTTCTTCAGGAAGTGATGAGAATATGGAATAATCTACTGATGCTTTATTGTGGGAAGACAGAAACTTGACCATGTTTTGGAGCTAACAAAGGTCTCCCTTTTTTTTCATTTTGCTGGATAACTTGCCAGACAAGACCATTTGAGACTTGAACCCTCTCCTAAAGGCAGCTATTTGCATGCAACCTGCTCAGCTAAGTTGCCTGTAGGGAGTAAAAGATTGGCAAGAAATGGTTACTGTGATTAGTAAACTGTTTTATTATCAACATTTGGGAATTCAGGAAAAAGGTAACTGTGACTCACTTGAAAAGGAACTGAGTAAACTCATGCTGCTAATAATTCAGTTTGTTATAGGGACAGAAACATTTATTTACTCATTCCCATGACTAAATTTATTTGCTAGTATGACCAGAAGTTATAAATCCATAACTGCATATGGCTTGCAACTTTTGATCTATACAATTTCATGGAAAAAGTTTCAGTTTTGTGATCCACTCTCTGAATTCCTCAAAATTCTGCCTGAATTTCTTCTCTTTACACAAAATGTCAGTTGTTCTCTGCCAGCCCACATCTCTTATTTAGATATTTAATATCTAAAGTGTGAATTCCTGAGAACCAGCTCTGGTTTTGCTTGTGTCTTTATACTATTCCTGGAAAAGTGGGCGTCCCAGTTTTAGGCACGGCTTCCGGATAGATACTGCTGGATTATAAGTAGCACATAATAGAACAGCCATAGGAGAGCCATCAAATGGTCCACATTTTCTGCCAGCTAAGCATTTATGATCTCTTCTTCACTAACGATGAGGAGGACAACTATACGCTTCTTTCCCTAGCAAGTTGACAACTCTTTCCATTTTTTAGAAGGAAAACCTGGGCAAACTTGGATTTGTTGGAAACTTCAATATATATTTCCCCGTCTTTTCATCCGTGTGTATTCTCAGTCCCTGTTAAGAGTCTAATCTAGTCAAAATGTTAGGGAATTTAACTCCTACCAGCTACTTCGCTCAGTACAGAGGTCATTATCATGCTTAGTAGTTATGACAGAAAACTGGCAAGTAGTTATTTTGGTTTTCTGTCCAAGTTACGCTCCAAGTGATGCTGAACTGTATCTCACTTCAACCATCTGTAAAATAGACTAACATCTCTATTGCAGTGTTGAGTTTAATTAACTAATAATTATAAAGCAGTATGAGATTGCTTGTTATCATTACAGCTATAGCAGAATTCGGCCACAGTGAGTTGATTTATTTTCTTGGAGTTATTTTTCATTTAACTTTTTCTGTTTCAGCCACAAACAAGAGGTAGTGCCTTTGGTGGGGAGGGTAAATCTCTTCTTCTTTTCAGTCCTCTTACAGAAACCTGACCTATCCTGGTAAAAATAGGGTGCCCTTAAAGAGGTGGACCACGTAGATGCTAAGTCTTTATAAGCACTATTTAATACAGGTATCATCATACTGTTTCCTCAAGAAAAGAAGTGCTAAGTCAGTTGAAAAAAAGATGTCTAAGGGTATTAATTATGCAGACAAAACTACAAATAGGCCAGATACCTTAAAACAAGGGGTGAGATAATGACTTCTTTGGCAACCCGTATTTAGTATATGTTGCAACTTTGCAATTCATCTTTGAGCTTCTCTTTTTCTCGTGTTTAGAGGGCTTTTTTTTCTTTTTCTGTGTTTGCTGCAAAAGAAAGTAGTCTTACCCATGCTGCCATGTTCTCCTGATTTCAGTGTTGTTTTCTAGGCTCAGCAGCACGTATCAAGGCTAACCAGCGATGGCTTTCTCCAGGGAGCTCTCCATAGCAGAGCCTTGGAGAATGGCTCTGCATCCAACCAGCTAATTTCTCAAAATTCTGCTTGTTTTCACACTGTGCATCTCCAGGTGAAATCGGAACATTAAAGGATCAATCTGAAGATGCCTTGTTAAAATTAATTTTGTTCAAAGACTTTTAATGAAAAACTTACTAGTGAATGTTTCTGGGAAGCTGTAGATGTAGAGAGTTCTGCTCCTCACTTACACCAAACTACAGTATAGAAATAAAAACCAAAAAGTAGATTTTGAAGTAATAGTTCATGTGCCAAACCTGGCAGTGCAGTCACAAGTGCCATGCACAAGAACATCAGGAAAACCCTCCAAAATAAAACCAGATACAGGATGAGAGAGCAAGCTGTTTGCGTTGAAGGCTGTCATTCCATCCTTCGCTCACTTTATGGTTCTTAGTCCCTTTGAGACTGTAAATATTTAACTAAAATAAGTTATTTAATCTTGGTGTTATTCCTCAGAAGTATTTGCAGATCACTTTCAGTGTGCCAGATTTTAATACTGCAGCATGGAGGTTCGTGGATTGAAAACAGAAATGGTTTTCCAGCTGATCACTGAGTGCAAAGACCCTCAAAGGGCAAACTCAGAGTAAATGCGAGTGGAGACAGTTTCTCTGGACTGAAAGCTATCCTTTCCCCAATTGCAAAGCCCTCTCAGCTGTGTACAGGGATTATGGAAAGCTACAGATTAAATGCTCTGCAAGAAAGATACTTGTGTCTGTTCTGTTCTTTTAAAACACAGTGTATTTTTTCTGGTATAATTATTTTAGTAATATAGTTAGTGAATAGAATTACATTTTATTTTAAAATTTTAGCCCATAAGCATTTTCTGTCTCTTTTTAGAAACACAGATTTAAGATACGTAACTTAATCAGTATCAACTGTTGGTTCAAGTTAATGTGATTCCTTTCCAGCCACGATCTAATTTCCATAATTAATTTACATCAAGGTATCTGCTCTGCATAAGAATTATCTTGACGAATAAACTAGTGTATTCCAAATAAGTAGCTTGCATTCCTGTACTCTCCCTTCTTTCTGCAGCTATTTTGGATATAAGGTACCAGTTATATCTGGTATTTCTCTCTTCCAACTTGTTCTACCACACCTAATGCTCTGTCATTAAATAAATATCTGTGTTTCTTGGGTGCCTTTCAACCTCCATGTGGTTGAAAATTTGCCTTTCAACCATGTGGAGTTGAAATCCTAGGAAGGTCTATAGTTTTTGTTTGTGATATGAAAATGCCATTTAAATCTGGGGGGAAAGGAGAAGAGTGCCTTGAGCAAACGTTTGTTGCTGAAGATCCTAACAGCATTTTTTTTTTTTTTTTGCATTAGCTCTGATTGAGTTCTTAAGTCACTCTAATGTTCAAATTTTTGTAGGAAGTTTTCCATCAAGAAATATTAGGTGACTTAAGAGTTGATCTTTCCTAAATTTCCTTTCAGATTTCTTCAAATCTGAAATTTCAATTCTTTATCTTAGGCAGATAAATTCAAAAAAGCCCTTCTGATGCTGACACTGTGAAAGCAGTAGCTGAGGGCACTGTCAATCCCAGATAACATCTCCAGTGACTCACTCTTAAATGCTGCCCTTCCTTCATACCCTAGGAACCATGTCACCCTCAAAGTTTCTTGTGATTTTCCTTCCAGGAGCTGATTCTGATCTTAAACCATGAGTGTCACAAAGGAATTCCCAAATAAAAGCTGTTTTCTATCCAAAACGATCCCAGAGGATTACTGCTCCCAGTAGGTTTTGAGATGCCCAGTTGTGAGCTCTGAACTCCCTGTCCCAACTCGATCACACTGCAGTTCATCACAGCACGACCACTTTGGGTGGGATGGGGTTTCACAGCAGGAGGAAAATTCACCTTTTCTTCAGAGGATCAGCAGAAGCTGATGGCTGAATGCTGTTGGCACAGGATAAAACCTCCCATGTTGTATAAACGTTACACGGACGTTATGCTGGTCCTCTACAAGAGGGAGGGAGGCGCTGTCTTTGCTCATCCACTGGAGTGCCCCACTCTCCTGCAGTGACTTCTGAACTGCTCAACGACCCCCAGAGCTGCTGCGGTGACTCCAGCCAGGCTGAAAGCCGAAGGCTGCCGAGCCCCCATGAACACCCTGGTGACCCGCCATCCCCTGCCTGCCTCGTTCCACGTAGGGATGCGGCCCTGCAGGGAATGGCACCCCGTGCAGATCGCTGCCTATTCTTGTCTCTCTCTCTTTGGGGGTCGGTAGCAACATGAGATACATTAACTCACTTTCTGTCTTCTTTTGACATTGTAAAAATAGAAGCTACATTAACATTTTTGTGAAGCTGAAGTTAAACTTGTCTTCTCTGCGCTTTTACTTTGGTTCCTGTCATGACATAATGCTTTCAGTGATTCCATCTGACAACTGATGAACCATGAATCCAAGGGAAGTTTCGTGTTCAATATCTTCCGATGATGGATTGTATCAAGTAACCAATCTTCTGAAATCTATTGTGATCTGGTTATCGCCCTTAGAGTATTTGGCTGATAGTCCTGTAGTGGTATAACTGATGAGTAAATAAAAGCACAAAGAATTGCTACCCACTTAAAAATTTATAGTGATGGATTTGGACATTTAATCATTCCACTGCAGGAAAAGAGCTGCCTGGAAGCTGCATGTCATTTGTGAATTGCTCTTGTGTCATTTCTCTCTACTGTTCTTACAAATATTGCTGAGTGCAACCATACTTTACAACAACTAGTTTCTTCCATGCCAAGTCTGACAAGTGGGTTGCACGTCTTATTTATTTTATTTTTCAACGTTTCAGTAACTCTAGTTTGACACGTTATTGCTTTCCTAATGGTGATTTGCAATCCTGTACAAATTAGATGTGTTTTATATTTACAGTGCGAGAAGCGAAAAACCTGATTCCCATGGATCCAAATGGACTTTCAGATCCTTATGTAAAACTGAAGCTCATCCCAGATCCTAAGAATGAAAGTAAACAAAAAACAAAAACCATCCGTTCTACTCTGAATCCAGACTGGAATGAGTCATTCACATTGTAAGTTTAACACCTTTTAATGGAGTATCTCTGTACGTGTTGAATCATTGATTTTGGTGTTGCACTGAAAACTTCTCTATTTCTCTCCTTTTTAGTAAATTAAAACCTACAGACAAAGATCGACGGTTATCCGTAGAGGTCTGGGACTGGGATCGGACAACCAGAAATGATTTCATGGGATCTCTTTCATTTGGGGTGTCAGAGCTTATGAAAATGCCAGCCAGTGGATGGTAAGTTTCTGAAAAGGTAGAAGGAGAGAATAAATCCAAAAAAAAATTTAAAACCAGTATTTTTCTTCAATATAATCTACCTTTTTTGGAGCTTTTCTCCATATCTTGTGGTATAAATTCACTGAAAATGCAACTGAACCTAGGAAACGTAGGCTATATGTAACAAAGGAGGATAATAAAAGGAAAGCTTTTCTTTTGTGGTGTTCATGAAACTTCTGCTGGAGTCAGGAGCTGCTGCGAACTCAATTCTGTGTACATAGTCTTGTGATATGAGTTTTATTTTTATCTCAAATATGATATATTCATTACTAAGTGAATCCTTTATATATAGCTCTGCAAATTCGGAGTACATGGGAACTGATTTTATAAAATGCCATCTTATTACCTGCCAAACTAGGGGTAGAACTCTTTACATCTTCTCAAAAAGTACATCTCATCAAAGTTGTTTAGGGCTATAGGAGCACTGGAGACAAAGGTTCTTCAGGGTTGGTGTCTCCCGTCTTATCACAGGATGGGTGGCAAGGATTTCCTTGTCCATTAAACTGCTTTGGCACATAGTTTGGGATTAAATATCTGATTTTAGGTTAAATATATTCTGAGTTTGCTTTAGATCTTTGAAAGCAGTTCTTTACATACCTGTGACATTGATACAAACCACACAGAAACAAGTAAATCAGATTTTAAATCTGACAGGAATATAACTGTAAAGCCACAATTTTTTTCTCAAATGTTCCACAGGTACAAGCTGCTGAATCAAGAAGAAGGTGAATATTATAATGTTCCAATTCCAGATGCTGACGAAGATGGAAACGCAGAGCTCCGACAGAAGTTTGAGGTGAGGATTAAACACAAATGGGTGCAGCTATACATGACATACATTTTTCACTTTATCACAGAAATTGTCTGTTAAAAAGTTACATATTAGAATGCTACGATTTCCGTTGCCTGTGACAGCAGTATGTACTTTTGGGTTTCTTGAAGATTGGATCAAGTGATTTAATTCAGTAGTGGTATCATTTTTCTGACAGTTCAGCTTCTCTGCTCTGACTCTTATAAGTTGGCATTTTAAAATATTTTATGTCAAAATATAAAAGTGTATGTAATAATTTCATTGTCTTTTAATACTTGCTGCGAAATCTGCACTAGTGATATCTATCACTAGTATCTATAATATTTGACAAATGAAGTTCCTAGAAACAACAGTTTTTTAATACTTAAAATGTTTTGCTCTAAATGTGAGATTTTTAAAAGAAAATCTTTACAATGTTAATTACTGATTATTTGGAGCCTCAAAACCTCTGTAGATGGTTGTCATCTGAAATTCTGATATCTTTAACGTGGGTATGGAAGTTTTTCAGGATATGGAAGTTTTTAAGGACAAGGGGTATTGCTGGTTATGTACAGAAAAGAAATGCTGAAGAAAAGCAATACTTTCTGCAGAGTCTTCCTGCAAATGGGAGTGGTTGGTGGTCATGAGCATGGTCTCACCGTGCCATACAAGGGAGTTTTTCCTTAATGAACACACTTAGCCAGCAACTCTGCCTCTTCTGACAGCTACAGCCAGTATTACAGCAAAGTACTTGCTGGTCATTAAACCCAGCAAAAGGAAAGATGTGGTTTGGGGAGAGAGGTGTTTTGCTAATAGCTTTACTGAATTCAGCTCGTCTGACTTGGCTGTTCTTTCCAGCTGCATATGCAATATTGAATTTGAAAAATTCCAATCTACAGTATCGTTTTCTTTTTTCTGGTTGAACATTTACAACCTTAGTCTAGCTGTTTATCCAAAAAGTAATTAATGTACCTGTTGTGCATAAACAAACACTTATGCCTGTTCCTTTCAACCTGAAATGGCAATTTTTTATGTTCACTATCAGGCAGAATTCTACATTGTTATTATAAAAGATGGGTTAACCCAAGAAAGTGAGGAAAAACGGCATATGTTCAACTTTCAAGAAAGAAAAAGAAAAGGTGCATCAATTTCTTCTGAACACATTTGGATCAGCTACCATACTTTTGTCTGCAGCATGAACTATGATTTTTGTTATACATTTGAGAAGTATTTGAATCTCCATTTCATTTTCCTTTCTTTACAATTGTGATCTGACCAGTGTGATTTTATTTTGCTGCACTAGGTCATTTTCTATTCAAGATCATATTTACTTTTTATCTTCCCTAGAAAGAATAGCAACAAAAGTAATTCTTTTCACCCATTACATGTCTCTGTGCAACACACAGAGTCTGGAATGGGTGGATATGTATGTGTTGGTGATATAGGTATGGAAACCTACCTGTTTTTTCTCAGGACAGAGACAGCACGAAGACGAGTCACTAAAATTATCTATTTTAAAATGTCAGTTATTATATGCAGTATATTTGCATATTGAATTTACATTCTTTTAGGTCTTTTTCTTAAGCCTGCTGTAAGCACATTGGTTGCAGAATGAATAGTCAGGGTTCATCTGTGTCCTGCAGTGACGTGAAGTAGAAATCCTGAGAGGCTGCATCGTGTAAAGCTGCTGGACTGGGTCCCAGAAATGGCAGCTTCACATAGGATCGGGTCTGCCTCAGAAATCATTAGTCTGTCTCAAAGTGTAATTAGTTCAGCTTCAACACCGTGTGTTTGAGGCTTTCCCTGTTCTGGAGGTAGCCTGGGTGATGCTATTTTAGTGGTCTGAATTAATCAAGGAAAGGGAATAGGTTTTCAGTGAACACAGTGTCTCCAGGAATGTTTGCAGAGTTGCATAATGAACAGTTTTAAATTTAATGATGATGTATGGGAATACTAGAAGCTGAACAAAATGTGTAATTCCAGCTAGACCAAGGCTAGTATAATGCACTATTACGTGGTGAAAGGATTTAGGGTCAACCTCTTACTCTCTCTCAAAGTTTACCACTGCGAAAAGGAACAGAGGGAAGCAGCAGCCTCCAAGTAATGTTCCTATTTGGTTTCAAGGGGAATTACTGTGATGACTTATAGAAATGAACAGCACAGATGTCTAAATGGTGGTATTTAACTTATTAGCTATTCTGGTGTGGTACATAAGTGGTGCTGACTCTAATCATCTTTTACGCTATTTTTCGTATCGTTTATATCTTGGCTTACATAGTCATTTTATTTTAGGTGTCCTATACTAAGGAACAAGTAGATAGCACTGAGAAATATGCTACTATTTGTGATTTAATTACATCAGTTCAATAAATATTTCCACTGTTCTGAAATCAGCTCTGAAACCTTACAGGAAGAAGATTGCAGATCTTGACTGGCATTTTACTGGGGGAGTGTATTTGTCAGGGAGATTAAGAATATAGATGGACCGAGAGGTCACACTGGGCTATCTTCTCGTTCATCAGTTTACAGAAAAGAGTAACTTCAAAGTGCTTGCTAATCAAGTCTACATTTGTGGTTCTTGCTCTACTTTTCGATATATGACAGTGTGATTGATATCCAAGCTACACTGATTTAATTTTGAATACAAAATCACAACAATTTCTACAAAAGTATTGCATTACTAATACCAAATACTTAAAATGAATAATGGTCGTCTTCAGAGTAAAAAGCTATATACAAGCCTAAGCTATGCGAGAATAGGAAGACTTTAGGATGAGAATTTAGTTGCTTAATATTAAGAAAGAATAAGAGTATTTTCAGGTTATAAAAGGTCAGAGAACCGGTAGATGTGAAATTGCTGATACCAGTTTCTGCTATTAAAAAAAAAAAAAAAAGAAGTTTAAGAGAGTCTTAAAACTGATTTTGCCCCTTTATTAAAGTTTAGAAATGCGCTTAATAGATTCTCCAAGAGCACTTAGGAGCTACCTCCCATTTCAATCAATGAGAATTTTTAAAATATCTGCCTGCATCTATAGTTCAACAGACATCTTTAAGATTTGGCCTCAAGCTCTCATTTATTTCAAACTGTTTACACAATCTTAGCACATCCTTCTCGCTGCATTTTAACAACCCAGACTTTTATTTAAATGTGGTTATTAGTCATACAAATCTCAGTGGTATGCTGCTTTACTTACTGGACCTTCTGACAGAATCTTTAAGCCATTTATTCAATGTAAATCTAGTATAAAATCACTATATGAGATTATAAATAAATAAGTGATAGATGAAAACATTCTCTTCACTTACTTTTGTAATCGAACAGTAAAAACTATTTGTCACAAGAAAAAGTTTCCTCGTGGCCCGTTTTGCCAGTTCTAAACCAGTTGAAAAATTAACACCTGACTGTTGCCCAGTAGTTTTAGATCCTGTCCAACAACTGGGACCCAATTGGAAAAGAAAGAGAAGAGCTGAGGAGGACAGTGGTTCTATTAATGGAATCATCCTGTGACCTCACTGAGTATTCTTAAATTTTACTACAAGGAGCTTTCTTTTAATATCCTGTGTTTGTATTATCTATATGAGATGGTACAGCATATAAAAATTGAGGTATATTGTGCATAGGTGAAGTATTTTCTATACATCAAATTTTAAGCAATCTACATATTTTCTGGGTCTCACCTATCACTAAAACTTACGAATCAATTATCTGCTCATTTAGGAGTATGATAAATCTGTCTTCAGTGATTTATAGATGATACATCATTATTAATATTTAGAGACAAAAATATACTCCTGTAGGAAGTGGAGGCAGGATAAAATCTGTCACTGTTTTTTATTTGATTTTAACCTTTGGTTGAGAATTTTCTCTCCGGAATGGCGTTATTTGTGGCCATCTTAAAATGAAACTCCGTTCTCAACAGGCATATTCACAATAATTGTAGCTGCTCCATAATTGTCCGTGCTGAGGTTGCCATGGGAACTCCCAACAGTCCCAGGTGGCTCCATGGACTCAAAGTAGTGAGTCTTGTAACTGCAACATCTACTATTTGTTATATACTTCTTTTCCTGTTATAGTATTTTGCTGGTCAAAAAGCAGAATATTGAAGTAATGCACCTCTATTGTATTTTTTCATACTGGTTATGATTGGAACAGTAATATGTTTTTGCCATTTAGGGCATTGTTCTGTTTGGTTTTTTTTTTATTTGGGGAAAAGAAACATGCAAATTCTAACACTTCTATTGTAGGAAGTTATTTCAGTTTTGTCAAGCCCTGTTTCCTGTAATTTGCTGCTTAGTAAAGCACTTCTTGATACTTAAATATCACCTCAGAGTAATAATAGAAAAATGAAAAATACTGGTTTAAAAGTAGGCCTGTTAATTATTCTGTCTTTCCCTTTCTTTCTGCATCACCATCACAGAGAATGTTATTAAAAATAAAGCAACTGTTACAGTCCATATCAATTATTGTTTTTTTAATTAAAAGCGAGCAGAGAGGCTGTAATCCTTACATGTGGATGCATTTACCAAGTACAGGATAGATGAAGTGATGGGAGCAATCTGAGTCACTACAGTCAACTTTGGTAATTTGAAGTGATGGAAGCAAGTTGTTACGAGGGAGAAGGTTACCGCTCGTACAATCTTCATTTTAAGGCATCCGTGGGGAAGATACGTAACAGTCCTCCGGGTACATACTCTTAAGATGTCAGACATTTTTTCGTGTTCTAAATACTTCCTTTAGTGTAGCTCTCTGTGTGCGTTTCAGTAGAACAAAATCACTCCCTGAGTTTCTGAGAGGCAGCTCAGACTGCTGTCCCAACCATGGGGATCCATGCGGGACCATTCCGATGGACCTTGGGAGGTGCTTCCTTGAGGACGTACATCCACACCTGCTGCGGTGGCCGCTGGCTTCAAATTGTGTTTATGTCAGAGATTTCAGCTGAGCCATTGGATGTGAGTGGCTTTTCATGGCTGCTCGTTTCGTACCATTCCATTTAATTAAGGGAATA